CTCATTGCATAAGGTCTTTCATGTTTGATGCTTGATAACGCCTGTGAAATGATGGTGTGGTTCATTATTATTTTATCATTTTTCATTTTTTGTTTGATGCACTCTTTGGTTGTTGTTCTTTGCATATTTAACCTTGATTAAATTGCCTTTATGTTTGGGTTTTTTCTTATTGTTTGTTCTTTGACATGCATATTATTAGTTGTCACTTCTACTTGCTCTTGTACATGTTATTTTTTTTTTTAAGTGGTCTATGTTTGTTGTATGTCTTGTATTTTTTTTATCCTTTTAGTTTATAGAATAATGTCTTTTATATTCGTTATTTGTCTTTTGTTATTTTTCTTTGTTTTATTATTTTATTCTTTTTTTCATTGGAATTATTTAGATAGGTTTTTTGAGCGAGTTAAACCTTGCACAATTTGGCAAGTTACTTTGGAGTGTATTTTTTAAAAGATGTTTTTAAGAGGGGAGTCTTTTATCATTGTTGTCTTACTCTTTTTTTTGCTTGTTGTCAGAATAGGAATTAGTGATAATTAAAGTTCCTTAGATTTTATCAAAATGGTGTTTTGGTCTATTTTTGGGATTGGTTTGTTCAAATTTCATTATGGATTTAAATAGTTATTTGAGTTCAATTTCTCATTCTCATCTTGTTTTTTGCGTATTGTGACAAGTAAATTTTGTTTGTTTCGTTCAACTTATATTCTTTTAGGATTTAAAATATTATTTTCAATTGATTAACTATTCAGGTTTGTCAAATAACCAACATTGCCTTTTTCATTTATTTTTTTCACAAAAACATGTTGCTTATTTTTTGGATTTGCCTCTCAAAGATTATGTCTTGTGATTTTTTTTTCCTTTGCTAATTTGCATGCTTTCCTATTGATTTGTCTTGCTTCCCTAAAAGATTAGATGACATAGGGGTTTTTGTTATAAAACACTCATAAAATCTTAATCCTGTATAAATATAAAGGTCTCAATCCTTTAAATTTTAAAAAGTAAGAATGGTCATTTGATATAACAGATTAATACTAGATGGTCATTAAGTGCATTATGTTTTCATGGTAGGAAGCAATATAAAAAGATGCAGTTTGGATTAATATTCATAAAGAATATGCCATATTTTGATATTTACATGACCTTTACTCTTTTTTTAATTTTATTTCTCCTAGATTGAGTTGCAGGTAGAAAGGTTTGGTATATACAAGCTTAATGGTTTGAATAATATAAATTAGTTTGCAACATCAGAACCATCAAAGAAAAAGCATATGACATAGTATTAGGTAAGTATTTTACTGAAGAACTTTTTCTGCTTTGATAAAAACTTATTTCATTTGAAGGTTAATATTGTTGCTGCATGACTGAATATTTAATAACTTGTGACTAAATAATATGAATCTATAGGGTATTATATACCCTTTAATAAGAAATTAATATGTTAGACTAGATATGCTTCACATGGGAAAAGATTTAGCTCTATTGAATGGAGAATAAATTGGAAGTTATTAACCTATAAAAAGTTTTTTCTATATAAAAAATGTGTTATAAAATGTGATTATAGAGGCAAATTCATGCTAGACAAATGTAGAACTAGAAATGGCTAGCCAACTCAAAGATGGTAAAAAGAAAATTGAATATTTTATTGTGTATTTTACCTTTATTTTGATTGCATGATCCATGCTAGACAAATGTAGAACTGGAAATGGCTAGCCAACTCAAAAATGGTAAAAAGAAAATTGAATATTTCATTATGTATTTTACCTTTATTTTGATTGCATGACTGCATTTAAATGAACATTAGTAAAACTTTAATGATTAACCATTATAATTGTTGTTGAAGTCTATCAATTAAAATTTTAAAAATTAAGTCATTATGTTATTGATCTAATAATCATTTTTTCCACAATTTCAATCTATAAAAAGAACAACTCCATGAGTTGTTAGTCAACTTTGGTATGCAAAAACCTCAAGTTATAGACATGATGCATCACTAAGTAGCCTTTACTGTAGTAGGTTGTTTTTGTTGGCTCTAAGGTGTTATGTTTAATGTTCATGACATAATTTCCTAACAAATCTTCTTCTTTTTTCATGTAGTTTATTATCCTTTGTTAAAACAATTATCGTGGTGATAGCAATTTTTTTTTTCATGTAGTTTATTGTCCTTTGTTAAAACAATTATCGTGGTGATATGAATCATTCTAAGTCTGAACATGACATAGTCTATATTTAGAAACAATGTTGATTTTGTTTATTCAATAAATTGACATGCAATATGTTCTATCACATAAAAAAACCATCTCATAGTTTGTTATACCTAAGGAAAAAATCAAATAATGTATACATTCTTACAATATAATTTTCTAATATTATAATCATTTTATTTATATTAGATGCTTGACACAAATCATTATGCAAAAGGTAAATACACTTTTATTATCTAATAGATTGCTTGATAGACTAATTAATATTGGTGAGATGGCAAAAATGACTAGCAAATTTAAGAATTGCCTTCATAATTATCTATTATGGATTCATTACAGATTTCACTGCATGTACTGAGTAAAATGTCATTAACAATTAACTTGAGATGATTTGTCATATTAGATGTGCTAATAAAGAACAAATATGGTCTCATTCTGATTTGACCTTCATGATCTTATTCAAATTCATGGTATCAAACATGCTAACAATATCTTGATAAACAAATGCATAGTATATTTAGAAAATAATCTAAATCAGTTAGATCAAAAGGCTACATTAACAACTAGATGACCCATTCAAGAATTGCTTCCACTTCTAGTACATTTTACACCTTTTCACTTGGACTTGACCATTTTTTAACTTTATTTTTTTAATCTTTGAATCAAATTAAAATTAGTTAAAATGGGTTAATTAAATATACATGGGGGATGCTCGATATAACAGGTATTAAATTTTAATTGACATTAATTAAAATAAATAAATTAAAAATATCTATGATGTTTTTTAATTAAATATCATTGAATTTTTACTTGGTTTTTAAATAAGATTATGCTCTTCTTCTTTTTTAATATTCCTAGGTGTTCTTTTTGTGCAACCTTACTTTTTTTATCTTGAATCTGATTTAATTACTTTCATGTGTGTTTCTATTTTTACTATTGTTTGATTAAAAAATAATTAGTTCAATAAAAAGTTATTAAATACAATTAAGCTCATTATTCGTATTGTGAAATCATATATTTTGATCTATATTTATCTATCAATTTTTCAATTTAGTATGTGGTTATCATTAACAACTTTTTTTCCATAGTTATAGGCGCAAATAATTGTCAAGTTATTCTACCAAATGCATGTATCAACCTTCTGATTTATGATTATAAGTTTTTTTAATGTAAAAAAACACAATGAAAAGGCCTTTGTATTCATTTTTTCTAGTTGAAATTTTTTTTATCTGACTAATGGGGAAGCGTGGACTGACTAACTAGTATTACCTAATTTATATAAAAAACCTATCTTTTTCATTGTTCACGTGAATAGTGAGAGAGGTGGCCTCCTCTCTTTCTTTCTTTTTAGCATGTCCCTTTTTTTTTTTTTTCATCTTTAACCTTGTTTTTTAAATCATATCCTTTAACATTTGCTTGATTTTGATTTTGATTTTGTTTTTATAAATTATTTTAGTTTATTTTTTATGAGATTATTGTAGTTTCAAATAAACATCTTGAATTATATGAACAGTGAACCTTCCACCCAATGTATTTCTTTATTTTTCAAACTTTTTTTTTCTTTCAATTGCATCATTTATGATATAATTATATGAAATTAGTTATAAATTAAGATATAGAGAAAATGCATGGCTCACCTTAAATCCACGATAATCTTTATTTTGATCCAAAAATTTATTTTGTTAATTTCTGAGTCTTTAAGTTGGAGAAAGGAGAAAGTTTATAGGAAACTGTGAAAGAAAGAAAATGATTGGTTGTCATGATTCCAACAATAAAAATGATAGATTTGAAGTCAACAAGAGCAGTTTAATGGTGGCGGCATTTTTTTTTAAAGTTTTGATACACAGGGTCACCTAGGCTCGTGCACATAGCCTGACCTTTTTTATATATAAAAACCTTCATTAATGGATTTTTATGAATTTTTTATTTTTTCTCAAATTAATTATTTAATATTGAGTTGATTTTGAATTGGTTTTCATTTCGTTATTGTATAATTAAAATAAAAAATATTAATGAACCATTAAAATCCACAACCCAAGTCACAATTTAGTGAGTTAACTTGATTATCTAAAATTGATCCAATTCATCATCATCTTAATATTAAAAAAAAATATAAGCTTTAATTTTTTTTAATTAAAATCTTTTTTAATAACCATCCAATTGCTTTTAAACTTTGGTGTTTGGTCTTTGTTTTTTATGTTTTTTTTTTCCTTTGTTTTTTGTCTTGAAATCCATCAAGTTGATTGGGTTAATATTAAAACAACTCACACGTGATTTAATTAAAAATCCAGATTTAACAAAAACTCAAGTGGAGAATTTCAAGTTTAATTTATTGGACCGAATTTAATGATAATATTAAAAAAAAATAATCAGCAACTTGGATGTTTTTTATGTTGAATAAATCTTTAATCCAACCAACAGCAGCATAGCACAGCAAGAAAGCAAATTCAATGCTTAAGCCAATCAAATGATTCGATTCCAAGGTTCATAAACTGAATTTACTTGATGATTTTTGTCTGCGACTGATAATATAGAATCAGAAATCACTCTAATTAATATGGCCCACGTCCCTTTCTTATACTCGAAAACTAATCAAATCCATGCAAGACAGGAGCAGAAATTTCCTGATGGGCTAGATGGGTTAGCAGGCTCTGATGGTTTATTGTTCATTATATGGCTACATGGCCGAGAAAGTGTACTAAATATTGATTTTCAAAATATTTTTTACTATTTTTTATTTTTTAAAATTTATTTCAACAACAAAAACAAAGAGCTCCACTCTCTTGTTTGAACAACTATGCGCCTAAGGACAAATAATCCGATTGACGGCTGCAGTAAAAAGGACAAATGTGGTCTAAGGTGAAAAAACACAGTACTATATTTCTCATGCCTGATGCGTGCCTTGTGTTGACATTTCGTAAAATGCTAACCCTTATGGCGACTGAGTTGGATTCTCAACGTCTTCTATTATTCTGGACTTTGATTTGGTCAGGCCAGACCGAAGCGTCCACATATTCGCACAAGTGGTAAATTCAGTGTCTGCTTCAATGCATCTCCACTGCAACATAAACCAAAATATTCGATAATAGGCTGCAGCGTGATACAAACTAGTTCAGACAAATTAAACACTTGGTTCTACACAATCTAGTTTGTAGAAAATGGATCTCTTTCAATTTATCCTGTTTTAGACACCTCCATGACAGGGGCTCATGCCTCTTAATGCCCATATGAATTTGTTTCGTGACCAGTTACAACACTCGCTCTTGCAAAGTTGTTTCTCCATACAGGCAGGCAGTCAATCCTTTTTAATCTATACAAAGCAACATTTGAGCTAGATAACTTACACGAATCATGTCATTTCTTGTTGAACAAATCATGGGAAGCATTTCATTCTCTGCACATAAGAAAAAGGATGAGTAGGAGTTTGTTCAGCATCATGCCACATCACATTAACTCCATGTTCACCAAATCCCAAATTTACCTGTCTTTCAATTTCAACAGCTGATGCAGAGAGTCTTCGTTTCAAGACTGACCTCTCCTCTTCGCAACTCTCCATCTCAGTATCTATAAGAAAAAAACAGCAGTGACAGAATTGCAAGTACTGAATCATTTTTTTCCCTTTTTCTTTTAAGCTTTTATAGTTCACCACAAATAGCTCCAAAGAAATTCAAGAAGAAGTCCTTTATTTTTCATTGTTTAGTCCATGAACAAATGTCAGTTCAAGATAGTGGAACAAAGCTTTTCTAGAAAACTGTTGCTGTTCATTCCAATTATATATCATCATGTCGTGACTGATTCCTACAAAGATATTCAGCAGATCATGAGAAGGGCCATTTCTTCCATCCAGTGCATCCATATTCAGTACAAGTCATGATATATAACAATATAGTGAAAACAAATGGTCTATCACCATTTCAAACTAACTTCTTTTACAGACAAAGATTAGTTAACTGTTCATGTTTTGCTGACCTGCTTTATCCTTGAGGCAAAAACCCCAAAACTATCAATATATATATATTTCTCCTTTTCTTTTACTAATAATTGCCTTTAACCAATTTCAATGAAGATTTTTGGTGCCCAATGTTTTTTTTTTATATAATTTTTCATGTGCATTAGGTTTGACTAATTGTTAGTCATGTACTAAATATTGTCATGTACAATTGGATAATTTGGGCAAGAAACCCACAATCAGCACTTTGGAATTATCTACAATCTGATTGTTTTGCAAAAACCAAATTAGGTTAGTTCTTGGGAAAAGATCACACATAAGAAACCTTCTTTTTCTTTGATGAAATACATCAAAAGCATTGGATGAACTAAGTAGAATGATTTCTGATAGGACACTCCTTGACATGGCCTGTGTAGGTTCTTAATGACTAGAGCAAATATGTTGGTCATCAGTAAATGTTGAAGCCTCACAAGCAAAGAAGTCATATACATCATCCCTTAATTTTATTACTTTAAGAACATTCCGCTTGATTTATTAAGTAATGTGATGAAATGCCAGAAACAGAAAGATAACTGGCATACAGGTTCACACTGAACACAAGACAGACACAGAAGTCACTTTACCAAGAAAAAAATAAATATTGCCCAGAAAATATATTTGCACATTAAATGATCAGAATACAGATGAGCTCAAGGACTAGCATTTGTCAATAAACATTTGTAATATTGAAAACAAGTTTAGCACATGAGTCCATGTGCCATTTAACAGAAAAAATGTGAAACCCTAAAAAATTAACCACTGGTTAGCAGTTGTTATCCATTATAGATTACAACAAATGAAAAGAGAAAATTCCTAAAAGATGTCAGAAACAAACTTAGAACAAAGAGTCAATTAATGCGTACCATAATAATATGATGACAGGATTGTGATGCGTTCAGTAGGCTGGAAAAAAAACAGGAGAAAAAAGAGTATTTAACCAGGTGCAGAGGAAGCAGCGGCTGCTCAGATAATAGTCCAAGTGAAAAAATATAATCAGAAGCAAGCAAAGAATGTTGACCTAAACCAATTATTGGCATAGATATATCCACTGGGTGAAACAAAAGGCCACATACAACAAAGCAAATAATAGATTTCTTGGCAAGGAATATTGCAGTCAGGCACAGGTATCCAGATTCACTCCTCATCACTGCATTAGTGTGCAAGAGGAATAGATCTCACAACTGACCCCATTAAAAACATCCCAGAATATGTTGAACACCAGATAATCCAGAATCAGTTTTGGGTGTGCATGGTTTAAACATGCTCCAGACCAATAAGTTTCCTCCACGGAATAGTCCAATACATGTGGGTTTTCAAATCCAACTGAACCAGTTTTAGATTTCCATATACTTGAATGAGTGGACAAATATAGCCTTGATTTGAAAACCTTCCACTCTTCTGTCTTCTTGGCATTCATATTTTTCTTTCCTTCCAAGTTATCTAGGATATGACAAGTCACAGCTACACAACAACATAAGCATGCATGTGGCTGTGAGTGTTTCTGAGTGAATGCTGACAATTTTGGTGATTGCAGAGATTGGATGAATTTGTAAATGCAGAAAATTTTTCTTGATTACATAGGATGCAAGGGCTGAACCATAAACTCTTATGCTATACTTACTTTACATCATCCTTTAAGAAATAATTGAAATCCAATTTCTACTTTTTGCATCATCCTACTAAGGTAAAGCTGAAAGCTTATCAATACTTTACCATCACAAAAATTCCCTCCTTACGAGTAGGGAGTTGCTCAAGCTTACTCAGTGTGTCATCACCTTTGGTAACTTTGCCAAATATTGCATACTGAAAAGTAATCAAGATGGCAGTTTCAGGTCAAAGTGATGTTCAGGAATAATCCGTGTAAAACTGTGTTTGGCATGTTGAGCTAACATACTTGACCATCTAGATGAGGGGCATCTCCAAGAAGCATTGAGAATGAGGATTGTGCGCTGTTTGGATCTTCAAATCTACAACAAAGTAAGAGGCAGCATCATATTAGCACATGACATTTGGATATTACTGGGGAGGGCACTAGAAAAGCGCTAGTCCAAAGTAAAAATGGAATAACTTTAGAACATAAACACATCCCAGGTTTCAGAATATCCTAAAATGAATAATTGCGCAAATTTTTCTAATATTTGACCATCCAAAATAACTTATGCAATTCCTAGTGAAGGTGAAAAAACTATAACAGCAATCTTGTCCAACATTCTCTTATCTTTAGTTTGAAAAGGATGAAAATGGTCTACTCCATGGGAAGCGTCTTCTGTCATCAACAGACAACATATCTCAGTCCCACTGACAATAACAAAGCACTTGGTGTTCAAGAATGCAGTGAAATGTTACGTATTTACCTTGGGCAATATCTGAAACAGTATTAACCAAATACACTAGCCCTAAAAGTGTCAATATGAGTTCCAAAACTATCATTGTTAATATCCAATTTCAAACATAAATGAACTCCTCTAGTATGTGTACCAATGCCCAGATGTAAACCCTACAAAAAGTACTCTTTTGAGATTTGAATCTTCAAAAAGACCTACCATGATGTTGGCTTTTGCTAACATAAAAGTTTTGGTTAATCAAGTTTAGGGCATTTAAGAAACATTCAACTCTCTATCCAGCAATTACATCGGTACAAGAACACAATCCAAACCTATTTGTGTCACATGAGGTAATCGTTTCAGTGATGAGCAAAATTAATCTGCAATTTGGTTCTCTCAATATATCTTCTGATAATGGTGAATCTTAAAACATCTCCAACCACTTCTTTCACCCAAATGGTTAAAACTTAAAAGCCTTTGTGGCCTTTCCTTTGAGTCTCATTTTGGGAAATCATCTTTTCCTTCGTCTAAATACCCCCTTCTCACTCCAGTAGAAAAAGAAATTTCTATATCAACAGCAGTTGAGATCATTTGCATTGCGTTTTGTCCCCCTACTTCTTTTTACACAGCGTTATAAAGATTCTAAGCTATTCTTAGGGTTCACTTTGTAACCTGCAAGCTGTTAGACTTGGCTCTCAACAAGCTTACATGCAGAAAATGTAAAACAACTCGAAGAACTAATAATCATAGCGAACAAAGCATCTTGACTATATCAAAACTACATCCATATCTCAATTAACCCCTTTGACAAAATAATTTGGACAGTATAGGATAGAAATAAACAATAAATCTCAAAAAAAAAAATGAAGAAGATAACCTGCCCATAGAAAGAATTCCCCTAACATGTTTGACATCACTGAATTCACCAACAACAGTCTTCTTAGCTTCCTTTCTTTGCTCTTCATTCATCGGAGCCGATCGTCCACCAACCACATCTGCTACTTGAGCAACAAACCCTTTATCAACCTGCCATATTTTCAGCTTCATATTTCATGTACTTATCCACTAAAACACAACTAACTTCTTCCAAGTAGCACTCGGTACACGAAACTGGACAGAATGTAGAGCCAAAACAGCTCTATTGGTGTTTGGTAAGCACACGGGACAGTACAAAATGTAATTTTGTCTCGGATCATGTCAAAATTTCATGGTGTCCAATTCCATCAAGTCCCGTCCAGTCACCAGACATAATCTTAGTATCCATTAAACTCATTTTAAGAAAAGACTGTAGCGTACCCGAAAGAAGTGATTGGTGTTGTAGCATCCAAGTCGAACAAGCTTGAAAATATGATCTACAGTTTGAGGAGCCACAGAAGGAAAGAATCCAAACTCAATGTCTCCATAGTTTGTCTGAAAAAGAAGTTCCAGTTTCAAAAAAAATTCATGTGTCATAATAACTCATAGTAAAGAACTAGATTAATTTCAGAAACACGGATAAATAAATGTCATTGAGCCGCAACAAACAAATGAACCTGAAAAACGACACGAGCAGAACTTAGGTGAGGATCCTGAGACGAGGAGGCAGCAACGAGGGCAACAGATGCAAAGGAGACCACCCACCATGTGATCTTCATCCTGTTCTCTCTCTCAAGTTTGGCGCCTGATCTGAAATTGGTTAGGAGAGGGAGAGAAGGAGCTATGAAGGGACAGTCTGACCTTGCTCTGCAACTAGAACAAGAGTTTAGGATGAATTGCATTTTTGGTGCCTAAAGTTTCCCTAATCTTCCACTTCAGTCACTTTTTGGAAGCCTTACTCTCTATTTTTTCGGCGTTTTTGTCTATGGCTCAGCTTTTAACACTCGAGGGTTGTTTTTTGAAATATTTTTTATTTAAAAATATATTAAAATAATAATTTTTTAATTTTTAAAATTTATTTTCAATATCACTATATCAAAATAATTTACAATAAATAAAAATAATATTTTTTAAAAACATTTTAATGAAAAATAAATTCAACTTCAATTCTAAACATACATTACATTGAAACTTCTCGTTTCATAATTTAAAATTTTTTTATATTTATTTATTATTATAAAAAATAGTTAATAAAAAATATTTTTTAGTTACAAAAAAATTCAATTTACTTTTCATAAAAATAATTTATTTTTATTTTGAAGAATATATAAAATTCAATTCTTCATTTTTTTGTTCTAGTATATTTTATTTTAATTTTTTTAAATTTATAGAAATTTTTTATCAATTTTACTCTTGATTTTTTTATTGTTATTTATTTTTTCTTATCTTTTTCTTGATTAATTTTTATTTATTTATAAGATTTGGTCCTTTTTTAATTGGTATATATTTTATTTGAAATAATTTATAAAATTATAATTTTTTTCAATTTCATTATCTTTTAACTTTTTTATCTATTAGATTTGCTCCTTCATTTTTTTATTACTATTTATTTTATTTAGAATAATTTATAAAATTAGATTATTTTTTTCTAGTTTCATTCTCCTTTAATCTTTTCAAGTATCATATTTAGTCATTGTTTTTTAATAAAAAATTTTAAAAATATATTAATAAATTATTTTTTAATTTATTTTTTATAGTATAATTAAATAAAAAAATCTAAATTATTTTTTTATAATATAATTATACATCAAAAAATTATTTATTTATTATAAATCCACTCTACACACTCTACATGAAAACTATTTTTCACTTTATAAATAAAATGAGGACTGAAATTTTCTCTCCTTGTGATCTTATCTTAAAAGCATATTCTTAGAGCATTTCGAATGAGAAATACTATATTAAAAAGCATCTCGAATGAGAAATACTATATTAAAGAGCCAAATTGATTAAATAGCTTTTTAAATAGTATAAATATAGCTTTTTTGATTATGTATATTTTAATGGTAAAAATCTATTTAGAAAAGTCAATTATATTTTAATATATTTTATATTAAATTAATTTTAATATAATTATATAACTAATATAGATATTTTATATATAATATAATTATGTTTTTATTAATTATATGAGTAATATGAGTAATTTATAAAAGTAATATAAAATTAATGAAGTAATATGAAGTTAAAAGATATAATTTAAAATTTATTTATATAAATATTTTTATTTTTTATTTTTAAATGTTACTGTTAAAAAAATAATTTTTTAAAACTAAATTCAAATTCAAACTTTGAAAAAAACAGCTAACATTTTAAATTTTGATTTTCAATTTTCTAAAAAAAATTCAAGCTTTGAAAAAATAACCACTAATATTTAAAATTTTAAAATTTCAAATTTTAAAAAAAAACCACCAACATTTTAGATTTTAAAATTTTAAATTTAAAAAAATTAATAGCCAACATGTTAAATTTTAAAATTTTAAATTTTAAAAAATTAACCGTCAACATTCTAAAATTTCAAAATTTTAAAAAATAATCCATTTATAAATATTTTCATATACCTTAACATTTTTTCTCATTATTTTCTTCTCTCCAATATTTATTATATTTCATTAAAATTCATCATAAATCATTCTAATTTTAATTTTTATAATGCTTTTGATTTTGATGATGACACTCCTATGTTCGCTTTTCAAGTTGTTACCGCTATGGTTACTGAAGAAGAATCGAATAATCAAAGCTGGAACACAGGACATTGTGGCTCTATTCTTAGTCACAATATTGTCAATCATAATAGAAATGAATGTGAGTTAAGGTTATATAATGATTATTTTGCTGAAAATCCTAAATTTACTGAAAGTCAATTTCGAAAAAGATTTAGGATAAATTGTCTTCTTTTTCTTTGGAACACAAATATAGTGGAAACTTATAATCCATATTTCAACACAAAGGACAAATGCTTCTAGTGTTCTTGATTTATCTTGTCTTCAAAAGATAACTCTAGCTTACAGAATACTTACATATGATATTCCTGCAAATCTTACTGATGAATATTTTCAAATTGAAGAAACTACTGTGATAGAAAGTCTTAGAACTTTCGTCAAAGCAATCAGAGAAGTTTTTGGTGATTGGTATCTAAGGGCACCAAACGAGGCTGATATTTGTCGATTATTATCAATTGGAAAGCAGCGTAGATTTCCCGGAATGTTAGGGAACATTGACTGAATGCATTGAAAATGAAAGAAATGCTCAATTGTATGGCGGCATGAGATGTATATTGGTCATTGTCGTGAACCAACTATAATTCTAGAGGCGGTGACTTCAAAATATCTTTGAATATGACATGTTTTTTTGGAATGCATGGATCATTAAATGATATTAATGTTCTTGATTGATCATCTATCTTCGCTGCACTTGCTGAAGGTCGTGTTGTTCTTGTCAATTATACAATTAATGAGCACGAATATACAATGGGATATTATTTAGTAGATAAGATTTATCCTAATTGGTCAATCTTTGTTAAGACAATCTCAAGACCATTAAGAGCAAAGAGAAAATATTTTGCAAGTAGGCAAGAGTCTACAAGAAAAGATGTGGAGCGGGCATTTGGGGTGCTCCAATCTTGTTTTGCAATTATATGTGGACCTGTTCATTACTGGGATAAAGAAACGCTTGCAAATATTATGAAAACTTGCATAATAATACATAATATGATTATTGATGATGAAAGAGTAATGAATCTTGAATTTGACCATGAACGTGAAGTCAATTCATTTATATCAGTGTCACATGCTGAAATACCAGAATTACATGATTTTCTTCAAACTCATAATCAAATCAGGAATAGAGCAACTAGCTCTCAACTACAAGAAGATTTGGTTGAACATTTATGGGAACAATATAACAACGAGTAGAATCATTAGATTTAAACTTCTTATGTCATTATAAGTTTCAAGTTTTTGATGTTTTTCTTTATTATGGTTGCTATCTTTTAAGTTAGTTAATCATAATTATTATTGTTAAGTGTTAGAGGAACTTTAAAAAACTTATGAATTGATATCAATTTTATAATAATATATTTAAAATAACCAAGAATTTTCTACATATTTAATTAAAAATACATTACATTATAATAAATCAATCAAGTTAATTAAAAAAATTAAAACCCTTTTTTGGCATAATTTCTAACTTTTTATTTTGAAAAAACGCTGCAAAAATTAGATCCAAATTAAAGATACCCATTTTCATAATTTCTTTTTCTTTCTCAATCCTATCCAATTCTTGTTTCTCTTAACTTTGTTGAATCATCATGGCTCGTTGTTCTAAAATAATTTGCCTGTCTTGTTTCTTCTGATCCTCAATTTCAACTAGAGTATCCCTGAATTATTGTAAGAGATTTGTTATAGTTACCTCCCCAGCTTTATATTTTTTTTATCTACATTTAAGTCATTCCTTTACAGCCTTCTGACCGATTGGTCTATCTTGATAAATCAATAGTTCACTATCTTTTCAAAAACTAACAGAATCAGGGATAAATGGAGTTGATGAAACCGAACTTGCATTGACATGACTTTTTTTTTTCTTGTTTGACCTTTGATGTTGACTTGCATACTCAAATTGTCATTTGAGTTCTTTTCTTAAGATAACTTAATAATGTTCTAGTTAAAATCATTTGCCAACGTAATAAGCATATATTTGCCGAGCATCATTAATTTGATAAAAAATTAAAGAATTCAATAATATTAAAATATGTGTTAAATAATTTAACATGAAAATAAATATTAAAATTACCCTTGATTCTTCGGTCATTCTACTTTACTAATAATTTTCAATTTGAGTAACAAATCCAACAAATTTACTGACTTCTCTATGTATTTCTTGTCATTTACTTGAGATGTTTACTTGGGAATGATTATTCAAGTTTCCTTCATTCTCTATAAAGTAAGCATGTACTCGAGCTCATAATTGTTTTGTTTGTTGTTCAACTCCTGTAATTTGATCCTTACTTGTATTTAACCATGCAGAGACAAGTAAACAATCTTCTTCCAGTGAGAAGTTTTTACTTGTGATTTTTTATTGTATGGACATTTAAATTCGAGTATGTTAAGTCATTAACTAATTGATTAGAATCACTTGGTTGAAAAAGAAAATCTTCTGACTCACTCATAAAAAAATTAGTAAAAGAGTTTGGAAAATTTTAATCCATCTACATTAAAAAAAAAAACTCAAGTTAAAACCTTATAAAAGGGTGTAAGGAAGATGACATTCAATGTGTAGCAATTTTATAGTTTATATACATGTGAATTAATAATAAGAATTGTCTTCTACTTGTTCTAACATTAATCTACAACCATTTCAATTTGATTATTTTTGGGAACTAAAAGAGGATTGATATTCTAGTTTAGTTGTATTTTTAACAAGACAAGATATACTTCATATTTTTATCAATATCAGCTACCATCATTACTTCCTTTTAATTTTGTCAAAGATAGCAATATAAATAAAAATTATCTTCCTTAACCCATATCAAAAACATAAAATAACAAAGAAATAAAAATCATCATAGATAGCAAATTAATAACAAAATGTCTTAAGAATCAACAGATGCAAAAGAAAAAATATAAAAAATTCTTAAGCAAACATACCTTTTAATTTCAGCTAATTAACACAGTTGATGTTATTAATTAACTAGAGAATAATTGATTTTTGTTTTTCTAAATTAGATTGAAGGGTGAGGCACAATGTAGGTTTTGAAATTTACAGTTAAGTTTTCTAAATTCTATTATGCTTTTAAAAGAAAAAATTAAACGTTGTGTTGTTTTCTTCCTTTAGTTCATTCTGCTTTTAAAAGAAAAAAATTAACGTTGGTCAACGGATACAAAATAACGATGTTGGCTAATAGATATAAACCAACTGAAAAAAATGGTAACTAGTATTATTATTTACATTTGCTTTTTGCTATATAGAAATGACAATTATTGTGTTTAAAAGTTATTTTAGCTGTCTATTTAGCTGGAGTGCATAGAAACAATTATAAAAAATAAAAGTACAATATTTTTCTTTTGCCTATTCTTTTAGTTGTTCGGTTGAAGATGCTCTTACAACATTGTGATAGTAAGTTAATATTGTTTCGAAAAAATATTGGTTTCGATGTTTAATCTTTGAAAATAAAGAGTAAACTTTTTGATAACAAATCAACATATTTATTATAAGTTTATTAAAGAAGATGGATGACTAAGTTGCTAGTTAAATATCAAATGTGGGATTGTTAAAATGCTAGTTAAAATTGAAATTGAGAATATAATATATATATATATATATATATATATATTGATGATTTTTAATTTAAATATTATAGATTTAACTACCACTGTTACATCATTAAATAAATAATGCTTTATATCAAATATTTTTTATTGTTTCATTAACTTATCTATAATTTCATCACGTATGAAATTCATCCGATAAGGGCTATAATTTTCATGGTTTTTTGAATGTGCAACAAAATCAGATAAAATATCACAAAAAAATAAAATTATAATCTCCTTCTAATTTATATAGTGTCATTAAATAATATTAAATATTAATTTTTCAATTAAAATACAATTAAAAAAATAAGATTTTTTTATCAGGTCAGGCGTGTTCCAATGAATAATGAAGATACTATTCATATGAACAATGTCAAAATAAATTAATTTATCTAATATTATTCGGGTGAACAGTACCGTATGAATTAATTTACTAATATTGTTCACTTTTTAAAGGGAACAGTATTGAACAGTGCCGAGAATTAATCCATGACAGGAAAGGAGAAACAAATTAAAATTGCTTTTTGCTAATCAATGTCTGAAATGTGAATGTTTGAAATGTGAATTGTGGTAGGTCTCACATAAGATAAATAATTTTTTGTATTTTACTAAACATGTTATTTCTGTGTTTTGTTTCAAATATAAAAACAATCATGTAAACAAATATAATCCAAATAAAGGACATGAACCCTTGGATCCTAAACACACTCGACCTAAAATTTTTATTTTCTAAAACTGTAAATATATTTTTAACCTTTTAAACTTTCAACCTATATGAAAAACGTTTATTCTTTGAACACTTGATAGAGAGTTTTGAGTTTTACACTATATAATAACCAAAATTTATTATTTATGTATAATTTATTTTAATCATATTAATATTATATACTAAAATATTTTACATTAAGAAATAATTTCCAATAAAATTCTAAAATTTAAAGTTAAAGTTATTGAATCCCATTTTTAATTTAGCTTTAAATATATTTATTAACCATATTTATATACAAATTCCCTAACATGTATTTATTTATTTTTTAATTTTTTTTTCTTTCCTCCAAATGCCAACTCCATAAAGTGAAAAAAATAAATAAATTAACAAAGCTAGGTTAGTTGCCTCCTCGGATTCGAAGATAGTACAGGTGAGCTACTCTGTGTCTTCCTTGCAAGTTTCTGAATGATCTCTCCACACTCAACCTCCTCTGTATATTCTCTTTGCCTTTGGAATACAGACAAGAACATCGCCATCTGGACACGCCTCCACGCGGTTAGCCAGAAAATCGCCATCTGGACATTGCATGTTATGATAAAAGTTAATTCAAACGACTAAATAAAACCCCTTTTTTTATTTTCAATCATTTTTTAATATTATATATATATATAATTAATTAATTTTCGTATGTATTTTTTTCTCCAAGATCCAAATCAAAGTAAGGGCATTATTAATTCATAAATATTAATCTTGATATAATCTGTCGATTCCATCTAATTCAGATGAGGAATATAAAAAACACCGAACGCAATCATATTATAAAATTGAATATGAAATGTTACTGTATCCGCTTGATATATATATATATAAATTATTGGGATCCACAAATAATATTATAAAAACCATATACTAGAGCTTGATCCGTATACATTCGAAGGACTGTTTTTTTTTTTTTAATTTCTGAAATCTACTAGTTGGTCTACAATTAACCAAATTGATATTTTTCATGAAATCTAATAATATTAAGTTTTTTATTTTATTTTGAGTTTAAATTTAATTTTTAGAATTATTAATTTGAGTTTTGTAAATTTTAAAATTATTTGAAAATTTATAAAATTAATAACTTATAACATTAATTAATATATATATAAATTGATTTGGATATTTATAAATATATATAATTTGTTTATTTTAAAAAGTAATATGGGTACATAGATACACACACGGTTTACCATAAACCCTTTGTGCTCTCCAAAATCCAGAGGGTAAAAAAATCCGTTCTCCGAGGCAACAAAACGCGTCCCCAAAGCGCCTTTAAGACCGTTCTCATGAGGAGATGAGAAACCCCATCTGCTCCTATTCCCTCCCAGCGCCATAACCCCACAACATTTCAAGAAACCACAAAAGAGAGGGAAAGGATGTTCCAAGAGAGACATCGTCATCAACATCGTGGCCCACCCCATGGAATCCTACTAGCAGTAGTAGTCTGCGTAGTGGTGCTAGCTCCGTTCATCTTTGGTGACCAAGGAGCAGCCATAACCGAGGGTTTCGCCGAGCTCTTAAGCCCGATGGGTCTCTTACTCTTGCCCATTATCCTTCTCCTGGCCATCCAGTTCCTTTCCTCTGATCGTGGCTCGTTTGTCTCCGCTGTCTTCTCTACCGGTGAGCCCGATTCCTTCCACCGGGTTAGTGGATCACCTGTTGGTGTTGCCCTCTTTCTTGCTCTGGTCTTGTTCTTGCTTTACAATCGTATGTTCTTGATCCTACCCTCCCGATGCCCCCTTAACTAAAAATCAGTTTATTTTATGCCTTAAAATTTTTTTTGAACAAATTTAAAAATTATTTATTTATTTATTTTAAATTAATATTTTTTAAAAAGAAATTACAAAAAAAAAGAAATATGCAATTACTTTTAACACCTTGATTATGTTTTCCTATGCCAAATCATAAGAAATTACTGGTTACTAATTTGATAAGAAAAGGATGCAGAAAACCTTGCGAGTCTACAACGCCCACAACTCCTAGCCTTTCTCACGATGAAGTGAGGGTATTATGGTAATTTAGGCTGTTGTTTATTCAGTTACATGAATAAAAATGTGAATCAAAGGTAGATGAGCAAATCCGACCATTAAAGACGTTATCACCACTATCCTCTAAGCCAATTAAATACGTTATTACCACTAATTTTCAAGCTGGATACTGTATTTCTAAGGTCCGGGTTGGAGTTTGACCCGGTTTAAAGATCCGGTTTGAAGCTTGGATTATGGGTCAACTGATGTTATTTTATTTATTAAAATAAAATAGTATTATTTTTATAAAATAAACTGAGCACAACTTAAGTGGATTGTCTCCTTTTCTAGGGTACGTTTCCCTAAAAAAAATCAAATGTCAATGTTTGTCATTTTCGGATTTGTCATTTTCGTTTTTAACCTGAAATTAAATGAGACGAGGGAATATGGTGGTGGTTGATTTTTAAATATATCTTTATTAGAAATATATTAAAATAATATTTTATTAATTTTTTAACATTTATTTTTATATTAATAAATAAAAATAATTTTAAATAAGATATATTTTTAAATTTTATCAAAATTTGGATTATCCAGTTAAATATATCCTATATCGAACTTGTTTGTTTTTATATTAATAATCTTTAAAAATTAAAAGAAATAGTTTTGAAAATTTATTTTTGATATGCAAAAACAAAGAAAATGTAATTTTTTATTAATTTAAATTAATATTTTTTAGATCATGATATTAAAAATAAAATTTAAAAAATAAAATAAATATTATTTTAATATATTTTAAAAAAATAAAAAATAATCTTTTATCACCAACATCATATAAAAAAATCATATGGGGGTGGAGATTCAAATATGATCCAAGTCCATTATTTATTGTTCACAGGTATAATAATAATAATAATAAAAAGCAGTTTAGCTACTTGTAGTAATAATGACTGTCAGGGCATCACGTAGAAGGAGATGGATGCACTTCTCGACAGGCAGATGCAGAAATAATGCATCAGACTGTCATCATCACATGGAGAAGAGTTTGATTTTTTCCTCACAAACAAACAGCTTTTAATATTTCCTTTCCTTTATGCACATGGAGTACATATTTAACACCTTTTTTTTTTAATTTAGATTTTTTTTTGTTTATATTTAATTATTTTTAAATTATTTTGATATAGTAATAATAAAAATGAATTTTAAAAGATAAAAAAAATATTATTTTAATATATTTTTAAATAAAAAATACCTTATAACACAACATATACCATATAGAAAATAAAAATAAAACCTTGTCAACAAATTAATTTGGTAATTTATTAATATAAAGTCTGACTTGTAGATGTTTTTTCACCCAGTTTTGTTTGATTTTACATTTTAAAAATATTTTAAAAAATTTTATTTGTTTTAAATTATTTTTTTTATTTTTATATTATTTTGATGTGTTAATGGTAAAAATAATTTTTAAAAAATAAAAAAATATTATTTTAATATATTTTTAAATAAAAATATCTTAAAAAATAATTATTATGAGACTTCAAACAAGAGTACCTGGTAGCCTGCAGTGAACAATTAGAAATCTGACTGGAGATAGCAACAGTAAACATGAAAGCTGTGCAGTTGATGAGATGAAACTATAGAATAATCCTCAGCTCAGCACCAATCATGAAGAAACTCAAGAAAAAAACCCTAAATCCAGACAGCCATACGAAGAGGTGTTCATGGGAGGCACTCACACTGCCTGCCATGGAGCTGAATTGCGGTCATCGTTGATTAATGCAAGGCTGAAATGACGATCAAGATGAACAGTACAGATGTTGATGGAGAAAGACCAAATAGCTCTTCATATATATATATATATGTATGTATGTATGTCTTGCTCTTTTCTGAGCTGTAAATCTTTTTATTCCATGACATCAATCTTGAAAGGAAAGAACAGAAGCAGCAACGCACAAGGTATGAACAAGCTGTGTGCAAATTGCAAAATTGCACCTTCTTATATCAGATATAAAAGAAGCTCATGGCATAGACTCTGGGTGTTATAAAACCTCGTTAGTGTGCATCCTGGGCCGCCATGGCAGATGGTGCGTGGTGTCCTCTTGAAGCAGCAATAGCAACGTCATGTTTTGGACTCCAATTTCATAACCTGATTTTTTATTTTATTTTATTTTAAATTCAAAAACAGCAGAAATAACAAAAAATTATACCTTTTATGACTGCTAATTGAATATTGATTCATGATTCATTGGATCTATGTTGATTTATTTAGATTCGAATGCAATTTGAATATAATTTATGAAGTTAACAAGACTTGATGTTGGAATTTTTTGTATTGTCAGATGTTTTTCTATGTTATTGGGTGATGAATAAATAATTTGCGTGGAGTTGATACCTTGATTAAAGCATGTTATTGCATTTTATCATTAATGATCTTAGTTTAATTTTATTAAATTTTTATAAGTTTATCTTGTAATTAATTTCAAGTTCTTTATATTTTTTTATTCCTGCATATTTAATATTTGAAATTGTAACCTATACATAAGATGTCTTTTTGATATTAGATAAATTGGTTCCCTTCCACAAAATAAAATCTCTTTAAGAAATTATTTTTTAAATTTATATATAGTTAAATCTCTCAAAAAAATAATTATATTTGTAGAAATAAATAAAAAATATACAGCATGATTTAGTATCTTTGAATATAAAAAATCAAGAAAAATAGTGAGAACTTGGCTTGTATTTTAAATATACCAAAAAAATTTATTTTGTTTGTTTATATATCAAAAATTATGAATTTATATATGAAACATATTCTTGATATTAAAAAAGAATATAAAATACATGTTTTAACATTAGAATGATTATGTTTTAACCTGATAATATAATAATTTTTTTACCAAGTATGATTTTTTTTAATTTAAACTTTAGACAGACCAACAGTTAGAAAGTACATTAGGGTATCTTATTTTACATCAAATAAATAAACAACACAATTAACCTATATATTTTTCTTTTTAGTATTAGATAAATTGGCTCCCTTCCAAAAAAAAATCTCTCTAAAAAAATATACTTTTTTAATTTACATATAGTCAAATCTCTAAAAAATTAAATTATATTTGCATAAATAAATAAAAATTACATGGCATGATTTAGCATCTTGAATATAAAAAATCAAGAAAAATAGTGAGAACTTGGCTTGTATTTTACATAAACTGAAAAAATTTATTTTATTTGTTTGTATATTAAAAATTATAAACTCATACGTAAAACATATTTTTAATATTAAAAAAATATAAAAATATATGTTTTGACATTAAAATAATTAGATTTTAATCTAATAAGATAATAATTTTTTTACGTATAAATCTTTTTAAATTTTAAACAAACAAACAGTTATAAAGCAGATTAGAATATCTTATTTTATATCAAATAAACAAACAGTGCAATTAACTTTTAATACAGCATACCAGGACAGGAGTAATACATTCTCTCCATATATAATCAGTACTTTTATTCAAACTCCGAGACCAGTTAAAAATTTTAATTACTAAAATATTATAAACTCTGTTTTTATTTTTTTTAAGAAACAAGAGTTAATTATTCTTTTCACCCTTCATCATAAAAATCCTATTTCAGAAAAACGGTCGCCCGTGATGCTATATAATACAACAGACCACATTCTCAAGTAGACCTCTTCATGCAAAATCAGACCAACCTAGTCAACCAGTTTTATTTTTGAGCTTATGATAGGCCTCGAGCTTTCAAGCCTTGTCTAATGAGAAAAAACTACATTTGTGAGAAAAATGGTTGAAATCCACACCATAAAAACCACCAAGTCCGTTGTCCCCGCACTACCGCGGGCTATTTTCTTAACTGTGCATTGAACTAGATTGAATCAACCGATGATTGAGAAAAAAAATATATAAACAAACAAAGAAAGTGAGCGAAACAATTTAACCACCATGTGGCAAGGCAAGGTAAAGTAGTGCGAAATGACATACAAATGAATATTTATATGAACAGTAAAGCATCATAAGAAACTCAGTTATATAACATGGAACATGACAAAATAAAAATGGACAGACAGAGAAAAAAATACCCTACTGACAGATGTGTTGTCACAACCACATAAGATAGTCTGGTGAAGGGACTAGATTCTTCCTCAAATGAATCAATTGCCGTAGTTGCTTATGTAAGAGCCGAGGATATAGGTTGGGGAGCACCGGCATTCAATATGAAGAACAAGTGGTGAATGATGTGCGCATACTGTGTATGAAAAGACTTTGCAACATGAAATACGGATATCACATGCATAGGTGTAAATTTAAAACACTGCTGCTTCTTTTAAGATTCTGGTGGTGACATGGTGACTTGTATTTGAAAGTTCATGCAGACTCATAAAGAAATGCCTGGGTTTTGGGGACATTGGCATCTAGTAATCAAGTAAATAAAGTTTCATCACATGCTGTAACAAGGATAGGCAAAGAGTTTCATCATAGAACTTGTGAAAAAAACTGAGTATCTTCGAGAGAAGACAAGTTGTGTTTCCTGCTATAAAGACAAACTTAGTTCATCAACGACATCAGTTCCAAGGACAAACAACAGTGAGCAATTTGGAATTAAGGAAGACATGCGGAATTTTCGATAATGGCAGCATTTAGTGGTAGCATATTCAAACTGTTCCTTCGGATTGTTGAGGATCAATCTTAGATAAGGAAGCGCAGCAGAAGGAATCAGGCGAAGGTAGATGAGGTAAGAATTTCAAGCGTAGCATTGTATAGAATAATGACACATCAAATAAGAAACTTGTACAGGAATCCAAGAGTATAGCTGCTTAGTTAAATTCAGGGGGAAGCCAGGTTACAAGTTGGAACTTGAGAGACCACACTGTGACCTTGCACAGCTTCATGCAGACCAGTAAAATATCTGATTATTGTGAAAGTAAATAACGTGATAGTGGATAAACTCATACTACTAGTTTATCCACAAAACCCAGAGGGGAGAAGACTTATTGTGGACAATTAATTGATAATAAACACGAGAGTTTTATGCATATTCACATATTGTAAAGAGAATGTACAATAGACATATACCCAAAGGACAAGGAAGAGATTGAAACCACAATGTTGGCCAAATGGTGAAATTTAAGAAGAATGGGATAGAGGGAACCTAATTCTAGAGTGATATTTCAGAATAACATCTTATCTCCAAAGCAAGCACAGAAACCGTCCCTGATAATGAACTAACATGTACCTACACAACCATGGAGACAAACACACACAACATAATATTCCAAAGACATCAAACACCAAACTGGTTAGGGTAAGGCTAAACCTTTATATTGCAATCAAAATCTCGATACAATTATGCCTTGAGTCCTGCAAGTGAATCTCATTTGTATAACTTGGGAACTACATCCTTCAATAGCTTAGCACAGACAACACCATATGTATTCCACTAAAACGCATCCATCTTCGAATCATACATGGAGCCAAACATCAGATAGTGAGACATGTCACTAAATAGACGGTGACACGGACATCGAAGATCTCCATATGATCAAAGTGGCATTAAATGAAAACTAAGTGACCTTCCTCCAAACAAGCATCAGTAGTAAGAGTATTTCATACAGGAAAGCCCTTCATGAAATCAGGCACTGAACAATCATCTGAACCAGAAAAATAAAATGAGAAAATGACATAATTCCCAGTCACGAATAAACAGGGTAATGAGCTTACCTTCATGCTAATCCGAGATCACGTAGCTTATCACAGTTAGGAGTGGGCATATTCCTACTCCATTGACGTCTGCGGATTTCTATGTTACAGTACCGCCAAAGCATATTTCTGTAATCCTTAATCACACTGTCTTCAATGCTATCTCGAGCAGGACTTCCAGGAGGAAAGTTCTTATCAAATGCTGATGACTTGACAAAATACTCCACGCCATACTTTTCAGTAGACATGGGAATCTGATAAGCTACATTCTTAAGCAAAGAGTACTCGGGCTCTGAAAACGGCAGATAAGCAAGCAAAATAATCAACAAGAAGGGCAGTATTTGCAGCAGAACAATCAAATTAGGTCCCCCTCCCTGCTCCCCCCTCTGTTGATCATCCGTTCCTCTATTCCTATAAACATGACGAGCCCTAAACACATCTGTCTGGCCAAAAAAAGCCCTGAATATCTCATCAGGATCAAACTCGTCATCATAATAAGAATCACGCGCACTTGTTCTCCGCCGCCTAACATTATTATTATTATACTGCTGATTATGCTCAAACCCGTCAACCAAACCCGTCTGATCATACTGCTTCCTGGAATCACCATCACTCAAACACTTAAACGCCTTGCATAATTTCTTAAACGCCTCCTCCGATCCCGGAGCTTTATTCTTATCAGGATGAACTTTCAACGACAGTTTCCTATACGCCTTCCTAATCTCTTCAACGGAACAACTCTTTTCGACCCCAAGAATCCCATAGCAATCCTTATTCCTATTAATATGCCTAATCAAGTGCACATGCTCCTCAGTAAAACTCCTCTCCGCACTCATACCCTCATCACTCTTAACAAAACCATTCGTATTCCTATCCTTAGGATCACTTTGATCCACAGAAGCGGAGTTTTCCGAGGAATCAAGCTTCTCACATGCAGATAAAAGATGATTAACAGACAAATTATGATTAAGACGTTGCGCCATTTTAATAAATTTGAAAGCGCGTTGCTTATTTCCGGATGCGATTGCTTCTTCGGCAATTCTAACACATCTTATTGCTTCATCTTTGTTTCCATCCATGATTATTATTAATTTCCACAACCTCAACACAAACAATTGAAGAAAATATGTGTAAAGATAACGAAGACAATTTAGCAATGTTATTATTAATCATCAGATATTGAAGTAGGAAGGAAATTGAGAGTTACCTGGTGATAAAAATATTCGATCTGAGAGATAGAGAGGGGGAGCGAGACAGAGAGGGGGTGTGCCTCTGCTAGTAGAAGACCATCTAATCACCCAAAGAAATGTTTGGTGTGGGTTCGATATTTATACTGATGGGCCCAGGACTGGGCCCAGGACCACCTGCCAATTCTTGTTTATGACACCCCGTTCTAATGCCACTTTTTAAAACTAGACGGACCAACAAGGTAACCTGTAACTTTTCATCTACACTAGATGAGGTTTTAAAAAACTAAAACGAGAATTAATCCAGTGTAATTTTTTTATTGTTTTTTTAAATAAATATTTTTTATTCCTTTATAAAATAAAAAAAATGGGTTCACTTGGATTAAAAAAAACCAAAACAAAATCTTGCTTTAGTCATTCTAAATTTTAATCGAATTTTAATGAATGTGTTTCAGTTATATTTATCATTTTATTTTTAAAATTTATATATTTTTTAATTTTATTTTTTAATATTTTATTTATTAAAGATTAAATTTTATAATTTTCTATAATTTACTCTTTTTTTTTATATTATCTCTATTTCTAGTTTAATCTAATTGACTTGATTTATATTATCTCAGTTATATCATGTCACAGTATTTCTAGTTTAATCTAATTGACTTGATTTTTTATCTATTTTTTAATTGAAATTTTTTAAAATTTTATTATTTAGCACCTTAAATATTAGATTGATTATTAATCAAGTTTTTTCATTATTTTAATTTATTTTTTATAAAATTATTTCAATCTCATTACATGAATTATGAATTTTATAAATTAACTTGGATGGATTTAGGTCAATTTGTTATGTTTTTTTTATTTTTTTTTTCATTTTATCATTAAACAATGAGTTTATAGGAAATTAAATTTCATAATTTATCTTGATTTATTTTATATAAGGTTATCATGATTTTATAATTTGAGATGCAGATTTCAAAGGTTAATATATATTGACTCGGCTCAATCCAATATGTTATTATCTCAATATTAAAAAAAAATATCATCTTAAATTTTGTTTTTAAAGTCAAACTACAAGATAATTATCTTTGAATTTGTCAAATCAATTGAGTTACATTAAATCTGCTCTAATATAATTTAATTTTTTTTACTAGAAAAACACTAGCTATGTCTAAATATTTATTTTTACATTAAAAAAATTAACTTGATCCGTAGCATAATAAGGATCAACAAAACAATCTAATAGTTATTAAATAAAAATATTTAAATTTTAAAATTATATTTAGATACTTGATATTATTGATATTGTATTTATAATTTTAATTCTATAATTCAAGTTAATTTCTCTTTAAATTTACATATTTAACTTAAGTGATGGAGATTGAAACTAAAACGGTATGTAAAACAGTATTTTAGTGAATTTTAAAATTTTAAAATAAAACAGAATATATATATATATATATATATATTTCTTTTCTATCCTAATTATTTTTATCTTTTATATTCTAAAATAATAGATAACATATAGAATTATTTAGTTAAATATTTAATTTGGGGTGAGATTACCTTCAAAAATATTTTAACAATATAAAGCGTATTCATTAATCTGTATATATTATATGTTTCACAAAAAAAATATAAATAAAAAAACTAAGGCGCGTAGATGAGCACCACACTAAAAAATTTGCTAACCAAACGTTAGCGTTTGGCGTGCAGGAAATATACAAAAAAAGTTTTTTTAAAGTGAATTTATTAAAAAAATATTTTTATAAAAATATATTCTGATTAATTATGTGTATGGTAAAAAATAATATATTTTGAATTACTAACTTTTTAAAAATAGTATAATTTTTATTTATATCAATCTTTTTTTGTTCCCTGTAAATTATTGGAAATAATATTTTTTTTGGAATTCTATTTCTATATTATGATTTATATTTAACATGTTGTGTATTATAATGTATGTTCTAGCAATATTGTCTAAATCAAATCAAAACAATAATATATATCTGCATATTAAACATATTGATATATCCTAATATACTATTCCATATACAATATTATATATTTGAAATATATTTTATTAATATATAAGAGAATAATAAAGTATTTTGTCATTGTAAATTTTAAATTTTTCATAAAAAAGTGTCTTTTTCCATTTCAAAAAACACTCTTCTCATTCATTTAAAAACAAAAAACAAAAAAAACTATAAAGTAAATTTTATTAACTAGTTTTTCAAAGTATAACCAAACATCAAAATAAATAAATAAAAATTACTTTCCAGCTAAAATTAATCATAATATGCTTTTAAAATAAACCTCCAGAACAGAAGGCTAGAGCAATATCACAAAGTTTTGCTCCCGTCTACCATTTCAACAAATCTGCCGACATATTGAAGATGAACTGAATACGAAGAGAGGAAGAATTTCATAAAGCTTGCTAGTATCTACATATAAAATATAGTGTCCAGTAACCCAAAACTGAACTATATCATGTTCAGGACATCAAAAATGGTTCTTGCTTTGATACATGTTAGCTGCACTGTGATGATAATAAATAAAAATTACATATCTGAACCCCCAACTTGATGCTTCAGTATTTTTCAGATGGAAGGAAGAGAAACTTTAGAAATCAGTTTTCATCATCAGAAAAGAAACTCTGTTTCCTTCTCAGCGATTCTAATACATGCGGAGGACGATCAGTACGAGCACCAGTACCTTCCTGGTTTGGCTTGAGTTTAGGCCTACTAATGGAGCTAAGTGGTGGTGTTGCTATTCCTCTGTTAACTTCTCTTAGCACAGACCTGACTCTAGCTTCAGCAACTGCATTTGCCATTGCCGATGCCACTCTTGAATCACTTTGCTGGTTTTCATTTAAGTTATCCTGAGCTTTTGTTCCACCTGCAGTCTTAGAAGCCCCAGGTGAAAGAAAGCTGCTATGGTTTTGCATAGAGGCTACGACCACAGCAGCTGCTGATTTTGCCTTGGATGTTTCGTATTTTTGCATGTCGTAAATGAGCTCTTTCTGAAGTTGCTTGTCAGCGACTAATATTTCATCAATCTCATTCTTGTAATCCTTGAGAATAATCCGGAGACATTCCATGAGCGAACCTGTAAGTGGGCTGTTCTTGCTTTCTAGTAGTCGTTTAAGCTCTATAAAGATGGGGATGGTATTTTGAATAAGACCCTTCTTCACTGCTTGAGTTATGGCCCCTCTCTTGGCAGCTGCTGCAGAGACTCCATCTCCACTTTCTTCCTCTACATCTCCCGCATCAGTCTGTGACCCACGGCCTGATGGGATTCGGATCTCTTTGCACGCAAGAATTTGAAAAGCATCCTGCTCCCCCAATTAACAAACAGTAAGAACAACAAGGCGAGGAATCAAAATTATTACCCACCCCTCTGAATTACCACCAAAATAAAAATTGAGAAAGTCTTATTCACTAGGGAATTTGGTAAAAGATGGAAACTATGAGAAGTCCAGCTGCCATTTCACTAAGAGCAAAGGGCAGTAGGTGACTTCTACCAATAACAATCTGGTGAAATGATGGAGAAACCTTGAATGAGAAGCATGGTCGGTGATCTCTTAAACTAGAAAAGCACAGCAATTGAACACTTACTCTTGCCAATTAAACATATTCCTAAAGGGCTTATGGAAGTGTGGTTCTTAGATTCGCATAGGATTACTACCTGCAGAACAGACTGTCCCCTGACATCCTCCAGCTTGAGCATGCCATCTGATGCAGCTGCAAGAATCTCAGCACACAGCTTTGCAAATGTTGCCAAGAGGTGCTCGGGAGCCATTTGTTTCAGCAAAGAAACATAGATGTGCATTCTTTTGGACCTTGAGTTTTCATCATTACCCCTGGAAATGATATTCTTCAATAGATTATCTTCATTGAAAATATAGAGCATTTCTTTTCTTGGTTGCAGAATAACAGAGGCACCTACCTGATGGAAAATAGATGGCTCTCTGTTTGCGAACTTTTAGAGCCACAATGCCGATTATGGGCATCACAGTCATTCAGAACAAAAATAGCTTCCACAAAACTGTTGTAAGCTAGAAGCGGTGCCTTGACTGCACACAAGTTATATACATCAGTAAAGCCCAGGAATATGTCACCAAAATAAAAATGATGAGTTGTGATTGCCTATTGACCTTTTAGAATATTCCCAAAGAGGAAATCAGCTAATTCTCTAATCGTTTCTGACTCATCAACTAGTGACAAAAGAAATCGAAGGAAGAGCACCCCCCTCCACTTCACATAGTCCCTCTGAATGTAAAAATATAATTAAAAAGTGAAAAAGGAACAGTGATGATTACTCCCAGAAAAAGGAAAAGGAGACAATGGTATAACAAATGACAGAAACCCTGAAACAAAATTTAACCTGCAACAATCTTGAAAGCAGTATAAATGTCTGCCTCCTCACAAGTTCACATGGATCACGGAGACACTTGGTGATCTTCGATATGTAACTGTTGACTTCAAGAACAGCTAGTTAGTGTCAAAGAGATTATCGTCTAATACCAGTCTTTTTTTTCTCTATTTATGAAGAGACTCTTATTTAAAACAAAAAAAAAGTTCTGTCATTTGCCTACAGGCCTCACCAATCAACTAGAGCAGTATAGCGAATGCAAAAATCAGCCATCATTACAACAAGATTGTTTCTAAGAGCTGCAGAGTCACTCTTTTCAAGTTCCTGCAACATAAAGTGCATTGCAAGCATTTCAGAATTCAGAGGCTACTTTCAGCTGGAATGAGGAGCATAGTTTTACGGAGTCTTTGACACGAGGGGAAGAAACAAAGATGTAGCTTAAATAGCTCTCATGTTGTTCAAGTCTCGTGCAAAGAAAAAAAGGTAGCTAAATATATCACTGCAACTACAACCCCAGAGGCATTGCTTCATTAGCTCTGTTATTGTTCAAGAATCATGCAA